GGTGTGCAATGTTTTCAGGAAAAAGCTCTAATAAAGACACTGTACGCTGCCTGTCCAGCACCAAACAGCAGACAGACCTGGAACATGTAGCAGCTAAAGAGCCAGCTACAAGCAGAGGGAATGTTGGACTAAATAAATAAGTGGCCAGAAATGCGACTTCAAATAAACGATTATGTTAGGCTTTATGTGTAAATTGGCAAATATTTGCTAACAAATTCACCAAATCAACTTTATAAGGTGATAATATGTCAATGTTGTACTTCCAGCTTGTTTTTGCTGTTCCCAAGTTGCAAAAAATATTATAAACCCATGTTAAATAACTGTCTGACTGGAAAACTATATGTAATAAAAATGTTCAAAGATTGTGAGAATCGATGCTGCTACATCAGATTAAATTCTCGTTTAAATTGTTACCTAGTAGGTAAAGACTGATTCTCTGGTCACCTTTGTCTTTTTTGCACACTGTATCTGCTATCAACCTGCCCCCCTCCTCCTGTCTGCCCATCCACAGTCCACACTGGGCCAAGTCTTTCCCTAATCTCCTTACATAACATCAACCCTGACCGAGGAGACCAGTGGCGTCAGACAAGCTTTGTCCCACACTGTGCAACAGCAGGTTATATCGACACAAATGCATACACATACTTTAAAACACAGCACATGAACTCACCTTCTGCCTCATTCACAACACTGCAAACACATCTTTAAAAAAAAAACAAAAAAAAAACAGGACCAGGAAAAGTGGGGTTGGGAGACACAATAATGTGTGGAGCAGGGAAAGAGGCAGCAAGGATAGTTCAGGTTCAGCTCTTTGGCTCTCTCTTCTTCCCTCACTTTATTATTCTTGGTTGCCATAGAGAAAAAAAACTATATATATCCGTCTCTCTCCCCACGTGCTGACTGACTTCACCATCTTTTTCTCTCTGTCATCTTCCTTTTCCATGGTTTCCGCAGAGAGGACAGCAAGGGACATCTTGATTCAATGGGAAAATCCGTCTTATGCTCGGCTCTAGTGGCAGACAAACCAAAACAGTAGACAGACAGACAGACCAGACACTGTCGGTTTCCCTTGGTCTTCTGGCCAGACTCCCATTTTCAGAAACCAGTGGCTTCAAAGGAATAATTCATTTCACAGTCTAGTGGCCAGACACAGAGCCCCGACACGCACGCCCCTTTTAACACCTAAAAGAAGAAAAGCAGCTTCGCCAATCGCTGCTGCACCTTCGCTGTGTTGTAATGCGACACAGGAGAGATGCAGTAACTTCTGGGGTGCATCCAACAAGGGTTAGATAGATAGATAGATATTCCTTTATTTGTCACACAATGGGGAAATTCCAAAATGAATTGAATGAATTGGTTCAGACATGTCATTACAGGTGACATCCTACAGTCTGAATTCTAACTGCTCTGGTGCTGTGATGGGAGTTCTAACACATGTCCAAACAGAGAAGAAGAGAGAAGCCAAATTAGGCCAATAGGGGGCACTACAAATGATAAGAAAAGTGGTTTGACTGCTCCAGGGCCAAACATCCATCAAAACATGAAGGCTGGTCATGAATCAAAGTAGTTTTGCAGCATCAGTATGGAGCTTGGCATAACCTTCATGTCAGCATGACTGATTACAGCATGTGTCTCATCCACATGAACTGGAATATGTAGAAATGATGACGCCATCAGAAGAACATAACCTTTGATCATGGAGGCCTGAACTCATACGCTGCAGCCAGATTGATAGATTTATTTTCCTTCCTGTTCCATTTGTCGGCCAGTAGGGTGATCAGGGAGATAAAACTCCTCTTGATAAATGTCACAACTGGTAATATTAAGTGATTCAACTCCAGCAATGACTACATTAAAATGTTGCTTCTATCTCTGTTCTCTTAGAGGTGTAACAATGGATGGATGGGAAGGGAGGGAGGGAGTAAAGAAGG